GCAGATTCCTGGCAATTCTGCATGCCTGTACCACCTTGGGGCTCAGTGACACCTTCAGCTACCCATCACTCTTCTCAAGCAAACTGTCAGGAAAACTCTGTTCATGCAACCTCCAGTATCATCGGACCCAAACACATGGTCTCTGCATTACATTCACATCTGTTCTTCCCCTTTAGCTAGAGGCAATCAAAGGAGCATTCAAATAGAGGTGCTAAGACCTGTCAGCACCTCTCAATGTAAGGTCAGATGTAGACATTACAGAAGCTATGCCTTCTGTTAATTATTGAAAAGAACGTCAAAAATTTAACTCTAGTTTTAACAAACTCCCAGGACAATTCTTCAGCCACCAGCATAAAAAACAGTATTATAATAGAAGTGTCTTGCCAGTGTCCACAAAGATACTTCTCACACCTAACTTTGAGTGACCGGCATGCATTATCCCAGAAATACCCTATGAAGTGGGTACTGCTGTTCATGGCAGTTTGAAGGGAATACCCAAGGGGCCTCTCTGGTGGCGCAGGCGGTTAAGCATGGCTCTGTGAAGCTGTCCGCAGCCACTGCAGGGCCAGTTCCCCCGCAGGCCTCGGAGCAACCCACATGGCAAGCGGACCTCTCCTATCTCGCCCGCTGCTCCCCTCAACAGTGTATTTCAGTCAGTCTGCCTGTTCTGTTCCCCGCTTTATCTCTGGTGAATCCTCTCACCCTCCTGCACATCTAACCTGTACCCGACTCTTGTATACATAAAAATTAATTAATTAATTTTTAAAAAAATGAAGGGAATACCCAAGAAAACTATCTGATTCCACAAGCATGTTCTCTGCTCCTTCAAGATAAGCCGGAGGGGGCTTAGCAGATGACCAGGGATGGACAATGAGACTCTAGGGGGAAGCAGTCAGGAACGCTGACATTCTGAATGAAGAAAGGAGAAGACTTAATGGGAAGATGGGTGGAGGGGAAAGGGTAAGTCCATCAATGGTGACACAGAAGAGTAAGTGCCCTGCCCCTCAGAAATGGAACTGTTGGGTAGAGAAGGCAGTTCAAGAGCCAAGACCTGAACTGAAGCATGGTGGGTTAAAGACAAAAAGGACTTATTCCAAGAGGGGATGGTTATCCTCTTAACGTATTATAGCTAGAGCTATTGAAGTCATATTCATAGAAATTACATGTACAACGCATAACAATTATTTCAAAAAGATAAAGCAGTGAAAGCACCCAACACAAACATAATGGAGAAGGAAGGCTGACAAGACCACTTGGCATCACTGCTGGCTTCAACAGACTGGTGTCTAGCAGAAAGGGAGATTAAGAGATGGTGGCAGCCTACCTGTGACTACATGTGAAGATGCTGTCATACAACAAGCCATTGAGTGCCCACTGTGGCCCAGATGCTGCCCTAGGCTTAGTCAGTCACAAACAAAAACATCTCTGCCTTCATGGAGCTTATGTGCTAGTCGGGAAGACAAAGAAGCAGCAAGTATGTAGGTAGTGGGGAGTGCTGTAAGGGCTTAAAAAAAAAAAGGCAGGATATGAGAAAGAATGATGCGAAGGGTAGGTATTTAAGATAATGTTGTCTGGCAATCAAAAAGATCAACTGAGCTCTAAGAGGTTAGAAGATAAAACTCAATTATTTCAAGCTATCAAACTCTGGAAGTATTCATTCAGAATATCTCCTGCCTACTAGACTAGGAACTATATTGATGCTAAAGAGACTGAAGGCATTCAAGAATCAGTACAAAATGAGGGGAAAACGGACAGTGTGAGAAACACTGAGGAAGCACAGAGACTACCAAAGACCTCACAGGGAAGACAAAACCATTTCACCATGTGGATGATCTTTATTTCTGCAGTTCCTTCCCACTTCAATATTCTCTAACTCTTTTAGAAAAGCACAGATGCCAAAGGAGTAATAAGCTTAGGGGAAAACAAAGAAGCAGAGGAGATGTGTATCACACAGGACAACATTCATTTAACAAATAGCTGTTTGTTGAGCAGGATCTACTGGGTGCCAGTCTCTGCTCACAAGGGTGAGCAAAAAAATGCTGGCACCTTCAGGTTACAAAAGGATTGTCTCTTAATTTACACCCCAAAGGGATAGAGGGGGCGGGGAGGGAGGTGTGAAGGTAGATGGGAAAATACAGGAAAAGGATAAATCTATGCTACAACTAGGGCCAGGCCTGGGATGGTGGTGCAGGTTCGTGAGAGGTTAGAAGATTAGGTAAGTAACCATCTAGTCTGCAGCTGATGAGCAGTTTAATGACTGCTGCACCCGCTCTAAGCCACACTCACCACATCTGTATTAAAGTCAGCTATCTCCCCACAAAGACATGAACAGCTCATAGGAATCATGACCTTCTTTAGTCTCTAGCTACCCAGCAACTAGCAAGTAATGGAGGTTCAATAAATGTTTGAGGCCAAGTTTTAATGACATGAGTAAAGCAGGAGGGGCGAAATAACCAAAGGTTGATGGGTGTGATAAGCCAAATAGGCCAGATTCCTGCTAAGTGTCTAAAACTGGTATAGTTGGCTTATAAGAACAGTGGGGAGACCAGCAACTATGTATCTAAACAGCTTGAAAAGCCTCCTGGATTCTGAGCCCCAATTTGTAAAATGAGGAAGTTGGAAATCAGAGGTTGCAGATCTTTGGACAGACGGGAGGCATTCTTCAATATCCCAGAGAGTATGTGCCTCTCTGCTGTAGGGGTTGGGGGGGATGTCAGTTCCCCCTTTGGCTGCAGTTCCAAGCAAATTACAAAGAAAAGAATATACAGTTAATGTGGCCACCAACACAAGGACATAGGAAGTTTGTCACCCAAATAGGCCTGTTAGTGCTGTGGCAGGTGGAGACGGTATGGGGAAGGGGGCGGGACAGCAGTGAACAGTGCTAATAAGATACAAGTCTCGGAGGTAAAACAACAAACAGCTGAAGGAAAGACTGTGAATGAAGTATCTGTGATTTCAAGGTGGTTGCTCATTTCTGTGTTATAAACACCCAGACACACAATAAGTCTGGAAGAAATTGATTTTACACAACCTGCAAACTATAAAACTAATTTAAGAGGTGTAAGCTCAGTAACTGCCCATAAGCAAGACCACCTCTAGCCTTTGAAAAGCTTGTTTGTTTACCATACTTACAGAGTTCTATCAGCTGTACTTTGAGTTTCTGAGAAATTTCCATTTAGAATCAATAGACCTGAGACTTCCGAAACCCATAATTTCCCATACCAAAAACTGAATCCCCCAACATCACAGGAAAACCCACAAACTCTGCAGAAGGGAGTGAAAAGGCAATTCAGTCCAAGGAAATCTTCCGGTGCTATAAAAACAAACAATTAAAAATAGTACAAAGAACACTGAAACATTTCTATCTGAATAGCTTTTCACTCAATCTCTAATAACTTCATTCTGAAGTCACTGAAAAGTATTAAATTACATAGTCCGTATTTCTGGCAACAGCAAACGCCTAAAACATATTACAACTTAAGGCAGAAAGTGAGTTTATGACTGTTAAGTCGAACTTAAAGAAGCTAAAGGCCAGGCTAAACTATGTGTTTGAAAATGCCTGAAAAATAATAAATGCCTGGGGGAATTGGATGGCTTTTTTGCTTCTAAGCCAAATAAAGCCTAGGGGCTTTGCAAAGATCCTAGTGAGGATAATCTCCGTGATTAGACAGAACCAACCATCCAATCAATTCCACCAGAACCCAGGAAAGTTAATCCAAGAAGAAATAACAACACTTGAAACGTTGAGAAAAATACACCGTTCTGTTTTTTAAAGCACTCTGTCAGCTCTGGAGAACTTATCAGGTCATTCTGACAAGTCTGAACCTATGACTGGCCAGCGTTTCTGTGACAATGCGTTGGTTTTGTGTTAACGGAAGGACAAAGGAAGATGTTGGAGTTTCAGGCTCAGGCCTCGGGTCCTCTCCAGACTCCCAGCCGCCTCCCTACTTCCTGCACACACCTTGGAGTTACTGCACACTGACCTTCCGCACACCCCTGGATTTGGGATACCTTCCTCCTGAAGGTTTTTTCAAGCCAAGTTCCCGAGGCAAGCTCGAAGGTTAAAAGTTCGCAATCCCTGACCCTCCACTAAAGCACAATCAGCAAGTGTCGCTAGACTAGTTGGGCCACGGCAGTGTGATTAATTTACGTAAACAACTCGGAAGAGGTAACGCATCAGTGCACGGAGAAAAGTCAGCAGGCTTTAAAGTGGCCGCTGCGGACAGGGGGTTGCAAAGTCAACCCGCCGGACAGAGAGCCTCTACAGACCTTCTCCGGGGCTCCTTCCAAGCAGACAGCACCCGGGCGGCCCGCACCTGCCCCCAGCTCCCCGGGGCAGCTCTCCTCCTGCACCCCCTCACCCCCGCCCCGACGCACACACACCCCTCGCGGCCGCTCCCCGGGCCAAGGCCGACGGGCCAAGTTTCAGCTCTTCGAGGCTCGGCCCTCCCGCGATAAAGCCCGGAGCACATTCCTCGGAAGATGCCGAGATTAATAGGGCTCGCTCGCGCCGCTGCCCACCTCCTCCCAGGCCAGCCCGGGCCACAGGGGAGGCGCGCCGGGTCTGAGATCGCAGAATGCGGGGCGAGGGGACAGGTCCCAGGATCGGGTTGCCGCCCTCCGCCCTTTCCAGCTGGGGACAGCCCGAACCACCTGGCTGCTCACCTGCGCAGGCACAGGTGCCAGGTGTTAGTACTTGGATGAGAACTTGGGGAAGCCCGAAACGCGTCCCCAATCGCCCAAGCTCTAGACACTACTCAGAAAACATCAAGTCGCTCGGTCTGAAATAAAAAGGAACTTTTTCCGCAGGGAGCCAGGGGAGAAGCAGCAGGTGAAAGCTGGTGGAGGTGGCTCCCGTGGGCTGGGCGCGCGGGCAAGGTCAGGAGGCAGCAGAGGGGTGGCGAGGAAAGGAACGCAGGGGAGGCCCGCGGGGGGCGCGGGGCGGCGGGCCCCGGCCTCGCTCCCCGGAGGGCGGCGCGCAGGTGAGGCTGGACACGCACCTCGGGCAGCTCGCGGAGCTGGTTGGCGTCCAGCAGCAGCTCCTCCAGGCTGCGGGCGTAGCGGTAGATCTCCTCCGGGACGTAGACGAGCGAGCAGTGGCGCTTGTCGATGGTCTCCACATGACGGTTGCACCGCCACAGGGGGATGCAGTGGAACATCGCCGCCCCCGCCGCCCCGACTCGAGGCGCGGAGACCCGGGCTCGAGCCCGCTCCGCCCGGCGGCTCCGCTCCGCGCGCTGCCCCTCTGCGCCCGCCGGCTGCCTCGCCCGCCGCCCGCCCGCCCGCCCGCGCCCGGCTTCGCAGGCCCGATTGCTGCCAGGAACCTCGGGCGGGAGCCCCAGCAGCGTCCCAGCGCGCCCGCCCGCCCGCCCGCCCGCCGTGTCCCCTCCCACCCGCGGCCGCGCCGCCGCCGACGACTACCGCGCGGAGCTTCCCCGGCGGCCGCGCGCCACGGAGCATGCGCGTGAGTGGGCGCGCGCCGAGGGCGTTTCCCGGCCCGGGGATGCTCGGCTCCGGGTTTTCTCGACGACCTGGATCCGGAGGGGATCGAGTAACCTGCAGGCCGAGCGCGGGTCGCCCCCCCCCCCACTCAGGCTAGGGCTTGGGGGGCGTCCGGCCCTCCGGGGAGGCCAGGGTGGGAAGGGAAATGGGCAAAGAGGAGGCGGGGAGGAACGGCCTGCGGGGTGCGGGACAACTTTTTCAGTTTTGGCTCCTCGCGTTCCTCTTCGCGCTCCCCTTCCCCAAAACAACTTTCTCTTCCGGGGTCAGGCGGGACCGCCCCGAAGCGTACCTTGCGTGCCGTGGGCGCCCGCGGCTACCGGAATCTGGGTGGTTTTGAGGTGTCTTCAAGTCCTAGCTGCTACTTTCCTGGGCATTGTGTGCTCGCTGCTGACAGCAGCCCCAGGAGGGAGAGCGGGCCGGCCCGCGCCCTGCGAGGTAGTCCCGGCCAGAGGTGCCCTCTGGGCCGCGGGCACCGCCTGCAGGCTGTGTAACCTGGGAGCAGGTCTTCGGGAGTCGCTGTTTGTCTATATAGTAGGAGGAAATTCCCCCCCCACACACACACACACACCCCATTCCACCAAAAGCTCGGGACTCAGAAAGTCAGTGAGATGCCCATAGATGGAGGTGCACCCCATCAGAAGCCCAAGGGCAGAAAGACAAGCTGGCAAAGGTGAGTTCTGAGTCTGGTCTGCTCTGGCCAGATGTTGGCCCCCAGCTGTGCACTACTCTAAATAGCTCCGCCTCTAAGCTGGTGTGTTGGAAGGAAGGGAGAGGTGGGATGGGGTGCTCAGGAGCTGCCAGGTGAGCAACCTCTGTCTGGCTCCTGTGTTTCTCTTCATTAACACCTCACCTCTGGGGAGGGGGAAATCACAGCCTCGCAGGAGTGGCTGTGTAGGAGCCAGAAGACTCACTGCTGAGTGATAACTCTTCCCTTGTCCCTTGCCAGTATCTCCCCCTCTCCCCCCAGTACTCATACCCAGGTACTCATACCTACCCAGGGCCCAAAACTGAAGCTCCCCTCCTCGCCTGTAACTGTATGGCGCTGCCTGTATCCGACTAACCATGCTGGCTCCTTCACAAGTGACTGCCCACCAAGTCAAAAACAGTCACATTGATGTTTTTCAGGGTTTACTCTGACTCCCACCCCCATTTTTCACAGCTTCCCCCTCTAGTGTACTCAAACACCCATCACCTGCGGCTTGGTATGCTGTGACACCACCCAGAGTCTACCACTCCGCCTCCCCTCCCATCCTCCCACCCATGACCATCTGCCAAAGTTAAAAATCAGAGCCACAGAATCCATGTTTTTACCAGACTCAACATTGAACATGCTCAGTGTACAGGGAAAATTTTGGTCTGTAACTAGTCTTTCAAGGCATGTGCGGCGCCACAGGTTGTCCTTTCAGTCCAACTGTGCACAAAACAGTTTCACCTGGGGTCAGTGGAAAGAGGAGCACGTGTCATTTCAAATGTACTAATAGGGCTGTAGAAAGATCCAGATACCTCTGCCTTGTCCCTTTCCCTCTATCCCCACATTATTGCCTTAGCTCTCTTTTTTGTCAATTCCTAACTTCCGTTTCACACCCATTCCAGGTTTAATTTCTATGTTGGGGAGGGGGGTGGCTACCCTGACTTTGAACCTTAACCCACCTCCCTTCATCCTTGCATTTCACCAACATATAATGTTCATGTTGTGCCACTTTTGGTGGAAAACTTTTTCCTGACAGGAACATGAAGAGTAAGTCACTGTCTTTATAAGTTTTCCAACTGCTTTTAAAAAGACCTATAAAGGCTGACCCCCTCCCCTTAATATTTTGACTTCCAGAGATTATCACACTAGATTATTTTAGTAAACATTAAATGTGTTTTAAATATGTGGCTCACCTTTTTAAAAATTCAGCCCTCAAGGAACATTCCCTGTGTGCCTCTCCATGGTACTTAATGCTTCCCTGTGTTATGATTACTTCTTATCATCTTAATCCCAAGGAGATTGTGACCCTGTCCCACCCACTTTGTAGAGCCTGCATCTCTCACAGTGCCATATACACACTAATGGATCCACAAAACTGTGTTGAGTTGACTCTAAGGAAAGTCAGTGACAGAATTTTTGACTTTCCTTGTTTTCAAGGATCTGTCAAGAATCTGAAATACTAGTTTGGTAAGGGGGTGGAGGAGAATAAAAACAATATCTTGTCTTGGAGAATAGGGAAAATCTTTATCTTCCTAAAGAATTTGAAGATTTCACTGTTAATATAATTTCTGGGTTTTCTCCCCGTAGACAAATGAGTCTGACTCAATATAAGCAAAATTTAGAACACTATAGCAATCAGTGTCTTTTGAGAATAGTGTAATTCATTCATTTTCCATAGTCTTTGAGTCTAGAGAGGTCTGACTTTGAACTCATATAGCTTAATAGTACTGGTTAGATTAACTGTTATAGCCTCAGTTTTCTCATTCAATTGAAGACAAAGTTCTATAGATTATTATCAAAGTTAAATAGGATGGTGTATGCAAAGTGCTTAGCAGAGTGTCAGGCACACATCAATTCAATCAGGAAATACTCAAAATGCACTGTATTAACCCATCTTCAGGATGGCTCCCAAGCATTCCTGTTTCCTGGCTAGTCACTGCAGTCAACTTTTATCTTCATCTCTCTCAGGTCACCAACTTGGGAAGTCTGCTAAAATTTGGGGTGATTTGTTACACAACAACAGATAACTAATAAATGTACGTATCATGTGCCAGGCATAGTGAATTTTAAATTTTGAGCATGTGAATTTTAAAGTGTGATTTTAGATTAATTAAAATCAAAAGACTGACAATTCCAAGTGATACAGAAGATATGGACTACGTAGAATGCATACATTGCTGGTGGGAGTGTAAATTGGGGAAACTATTTTGAAAACCATTTTGGAAGTTTCTTATAAGCTTATACTAACCCTAATGATTCAGCCTTTCTACCTCTAGGTATTACACACAAAAAATTGAATGTTGCTATCAACATTTTTAAACAAGTCTTCATATGAACTCAAACTCCAACCTCCACATTCCAGACCCCACAATCTCATGGGTAAGTTAGTTTAAAATTCAATAACCTTTATAATCAGAAGCAAAGTCACCACCCTATAATCTTTAATTTTCCTTTCACTATTAAACTGAAATTCTGTCCCCCATCTCTTGTTTTTTATTTGGAACATTTATCTCAGTTACATTTAATATAATTATTGATACATGATTGGATTTAAAGTCTACTATTTTATTATTTTCTGTTTGTACTACTGATTTTTCCCCTCTGTTCCTCCTTTCACACCATCTTTGACCAGATATATTTTCTAAACCCATTTTATTTTGTCTATTGCTTGCTCTAGGGAATACAGTATGCATCATTAAATTTTCATAATTTACTTAGAATATACAAATAGATGTGAAATATAAGATCCTTGCAATTATCTAGGTCCATTTACCATCTCTCTAGCCCTTTATGTTACAGTTTACAAATGTATTATATTTATATATGTATTATAAACCTCTATAATGCAAGCCCTGACAATTAGGTTTTCTCTTTTTGTAATGCAAGTGTCTGACTTAAGCCTTGTTTCCCTAACCATCCACTTCAAGGATGGCTACCTCCAGGAAACACATTGCCATTCACAGTGCCAGATAAAAAGCCAAGCTGAGTTCCCCCAGTGAGTCTTCTCTTGTTTTAGAAATTCTAGTTTATTTCAATAAATGACCATTTGGGCCACTTGTTGTTTCTCTTCCTATGCTTTAAATTCTCAAACTTGTGACTTAAATTCACCAATAAAGAGTGAGCCTGAAAACCCTAAGCATTCACCCGCAACCCCATTAGAAGCAGAACCCCTGATGCATGCATTCTCTCGCTTGTCCTTTCTTCCTCTTCCTCTTCTTTCTTCCTCTGTCTGTCTCTCCCTCTCTCTCTTCCTCTCCCTTCCTCCCCCCACCCCTGCTGTGTCATTTCCAGGTCCTGTAATAAATGTTTTGGTTTTTTTTCAAAGTTTCTTGATAATTATTGCTGAAGAGCATCTTACAGTCATAAGAAGAACAGTAAGGGCCCCTCTCACTTTCCAGCCACCTTGATCACCCCCAACTCTCACCTCCAGTCAGTCAGACTGCTCTAAACATAAGTTTTAACTCATCTATGTGGTGGAGACTAGTCTGTATGCTTGTAAAAGTTGTAAAAACATAAAACTCACCCAATATCATTCCTTTCTTCCAGTATAGATGCCCCTTCAGTTACTGCTTGCTTTGGGTCACTCTCCAGTACCTTCAGGTAGTTGTGTTTTTATGTTTTGTCCAGAATTATAATTATTTATGGGGAGTTTAATCTGGTAGTAACTCAATCAAAAGAAAACTCAAGCCATGCTTTTCATTAATTATAGTCATTTATTTATTTAGCTTTACAGATTATAATAGTACATAGACAATCCAAATTTTCACATTTTGAAGAGTTTATCCTACTCCATTCAGGGAAGTCACAAATGAGCAGTTTGAGTCTCATCTGCTTTTATATTTTTTCCAAATCTCCTAATAAATGTGCTAACGATGAGTCAAATATTGAACATTTTGCTCTGGTGGAAATGGGCCAGATATTATCTGTCATTTTGGGTAGCATAAAGACTCATAATTTTGCACTATTTATATGCACCACTACTGGGCATGATATATTGGATGAATCATATTTAAGTCCAATATCCATTTTATTTATTTATAAAAGAGGTGAAAAATGCCACTATCAAAAAACTGTTGAGAAGATTGTAGGTTAATATAGTGAAAAAGAACTTTCTGTACTTCAGAAAACTACATATTAGGAATTAGTCACTGTCAATACTCTTTTCTCAGTTACCAGCAAAAAGAAAGTCTACCTTGCTAGTGCTCTGTTTGGGTAAATAATATATAAATTAATGGCATATAAATTAATTTCTATTATTTATATCATTTAAATTATTTCCGTGCAAAAGAGATTACATCAGAGGGGCCCTCTTTCTGCAGACCTCTGCCTCAATTTCATTCTCTTGCAAAAGACAGGAAGAGGAGGAGAAGCCTTGCAGAGGCTCACAGACTGTCCTCAAGATTTGCGTGTATACAATGCTTTACAACTTAAAAGAGCTATTGACATACATCATGTCCATTGATGAAAATGTATTTTTAGTCATTTAAATAAATACAAATGCCTCATTTATTTTCTACCTTGATCCATAAAGGATTTAAGATCCTATAGATTGGCCTTTTCTTATATCATCTTATTTTATAGTTATGAGTCCTACAGTATAAATGAAGTCAATATAGCACAAAGCTTTCACTGAAGGCTAAGAACTATTTAATAAAGAAAAAGAAAATATCAATGAGCAGAACGATGTCCTTTCTAATGAACACAGTCATTCAGATGATTCGAATACTACTACTACAACTAAAAGTCTATTGATCATTTAATTAAAATAAACCTGAAAGAGGTCATGTTTCTAGATAAGTTTACACAGTCATAAAATTGGTGAAAATTGATTGGAGAAATAAGACATATTTTAGACCTATCAAAATAAAATGTTGTGAAATTATTGATAAATCTTTTTATAAATTCAGTTTTATTGAGTTAATATAATTGACACATGAAATTCAAGGTTTAGGTGGAAATACCAGTACCTATTACTCTATAAATCTTTTATTGGAAAAGCTGAATCAATATATAGGAAGACAACATGCAGGTATTTTCTGCTTTAAGAAAATCAAGCATTAGGATATCTAATAGCAAAATTTCAATGAAGAGATGATTCCTGCTGTCTCAGAATTTTGTTACTTTAAAGGATTTATTGTACGGTTTAAATGGCTCATTATTTAATGCATTGAAATTGAATTTTATTTACTAAAAAATTAAGTTGCGTACAACTTTGTAGGTACATATCTAATACATAAAGCTAAGTATAACTGTGCGAGTCTTGAATACGATGTTATTTTATTTTAGTACATTTATTCCAACAAACACCTAAGAAGATAAAACTGTGCCTAAGCCAATCAAAACATGAATCCTCACAAGGCAGTTTTAATCTCTCTTAGACATGCTATATAACAAAGATCAGTGAAAATTCACATTAAAAACATAACTGGATAAAAATCCACATACACATAGAATATAAGGAACATTCACTTAACAGACTTATTTCAGATTATTTAATGTACTAAGTGATACATAAAATAAGAAACTTCATATTTTTAACTAAAGAGGTAAACTCTCTTCCAAACCATAAAATAGTTACTAAAAAAAAAAAAAAAAAAAGCCACTGAATTAGGAGTTCAGTGAGTCTTAGTCCTGGCTGTTCAACAATATTACAGTAAACTTCAGAGAATTCATCTTTTCTGTGCTTCAGTATCTATGAGACCCTCTCACCAGAGCAGATGAGATGACAAAGTACATATAAGGTCTCTGACAACTCTTTAAAAGTCTTTACGATTCTTCTTCCTCAACATGTTCTGCTCATTATATCTTTTAGCAAAAGTAAATGGCACAACGTCCATTACAAGTAAATGATTCTATCAGGTTTTCAGTTTTGTAAAACTTTTCTCTATTTCATAATACACATCCAGTGTACCTCGTTTTTTCCATCATCACTTTTCCTCCACCCCTGCCCAATATCAAATCAATTCACCTCAGAATATTCACCTTTTCAAAGCCCTGTCTCTTCCTTTCTTTAATCATCTGACTCATTTCTCTCTGCTTTACTGAGAAAGAATAATTCAAAAGCAGAATTTCTTAATTTTAATAGAATGACTGGCAATCATAGACAAACCAATAATTAAATACTGTCTGTAATAAAATAGACTTTCAGTAATTCATAGACTTGAAAGAACACAAAATGTCAAACTTCCATTGTTGGACCTACCTTCTTAATCTTCATTTACTATTAAGCCAGAAATAATTATATAAAATACATATTTTGATAGTTATACAATAAAAATTTCATATAATACATATTTGATATTTGTTGATTTATAGTTAAATCATAAATATTTTAGTGCTTATGGAATTTTCCTTTTAAACCTGAAAGTGCAAATGTCAAATTTGATCTATTTCATCCCCTCATGGGAAATTAATACAACCAGTACATTATGACTAAGGCAGCCAGCAAGGAAAGGGGAAAGACGATCCATGATAATCCACAGGCAGGGTGACACTCCACTTGGGGAGGTCATCATGGTTGGAGTGCACTGTGACTTCACTGGGCACATGGACAAGGTGCCCTCCAAATATGAGCTGGGAATGGTGTTTATATTCTACCTTGACACATCCCTGATCTTTGACACTCCCCGAGGAAGGAAGCTGTAGTGTGTATGTGTGTGTCTGTCTTTCTAGAGAACAAAGTGGAGGAAGTGGAAAATGTACCAAGAAGACAATCAAAGGGGAAATAGTTTTTAAGAAATTAACCAACTTAAAGTATAATTATGCATAAAATGGGAACTTAGAGATACAGGTCGTGTTATAACTTGGAAGGCTATGCAAAAGAAGTCACCATCATCATTTGGTGGCCTATGTAGAAGCACTTACTGGTGCAGTGCATTACTCAGTTTAGTAGTGTTTATGTTTCCCATGTGCATAAGTACCTTACATAAAGGCAAGACTAACTTTTTCTATAAAAGTAATGAAATGTGATTAGACATATAATCCTTAGGCCAGCTCTCCAAGACTATTTGAACCATGTGGTAGGCAAACTCTCATATGGCCCCAGTGATCTACACATCTTGGTATTCATACTCTTGTATTATTGTGTCCTCTTGAGTGTTGGCTGAGCGTAGTGACTTGTTTCTGATAAAAACAGCAAAAGTCATGAGATGTCACTTTGAAGAATTGATTATAAAAAGTCCATGACTTCCATCCAGGGTGATGTCTCTTGCTTTCTCTTGAATTGCTTGCTCTTAGGAAACAACTCCTATCTCCTGAGACAGGCCTCTGGAAAGACACATGAGCAAGTTCGGAAGCAAATCTCCTAAAGCTTCTTAACAGCCAAATGAATGAGCTTGGAAATAGTCTCCCTAGAATCGAACCTTGAGACCCCTAAAGCTCCAGGGTACATCTTGACTGCAACCTTGTGAAAGGCTGACCCAGAACCACCCTTGCTAAGCTGTTTCTGGTTCCCTGAGCCACAGAAACTTCAAGATTATCTTAACCTTTAATTTTCTTAAGCTCCTTAATGTGGGGTGATTTGTTAATGCAGTAATAGATAACTAACACAAGCTATAAAAGATAATACATTGTGCAGCTTGAATGCTATATAAGGTGCACCAGAAGAGTCGTATCAAGGTAGGCAGAGGTTGAAGAGAGAGCTGTCGAAGAGGTTCACTGAGTAGTTGCACTGTATCAGCACTGTGCCAAGCACCTTAGGGACATGTGTTTGCTTATTCTCATGATCCTCATGAGAGGATCCTCATGATGTTGGCCTTATTATCCCCACATTACCCACAAGTAACCTCAGGTCAGAAGGGCTAAATAGGGGCCTCCCTGGTGGCGCAAGGGGTTAAGTACCGCACTATGAAGCAATCCGAAGCCTCTGCAGTATGAGTTCAATCCCCGGCCAGCCAGGGAGCAACCCATATGGCGCAGCAGACCTCTCCTGTCTCACCCTCTGCTCCTCTCAGCAGTGTATTTCAATTAGTCTGCCTGTTCTGTACTCCACTCTGTCTCTGGTGGATCCTCTCACCCCCTACATCTCTGGCCTATACCCCAGCTCTTGTATGCATAAATAAATAAATCTTTAAAAAAAAAGGAGGGTTAAATAACTTGCCCAAATTTTCACCCCAGGTAAATAAAAGATATCTGGTTTTGAACTCTGGTTTCTGTACAAATGAATCTCCTACTTCTACTGCAATCCTAATTGCAATAAATAAAGAGAGCAAATACTTCATAACATTGATGATGAATGAAAATGTACCAGCTGAACCTTTCAGACACGTAACTAATATTTTGTGTAATAAGAGTTTGAGTAGGATATGAGCAGAATATTGTAGAAATATGAAGAGCAACTGTTTCTCCTATGGGCAGGGAACAGAAGGAACACCCCCACAAAGGTGGGGTACAGTAGAGATGAACAGCACAATCTCTCTATTATCTTTAGGAGGTTCAGACTCTGAAACCAGACTGACAAAGGTTCAGACAAGTAATTGGCTTTGTGACCCAGGCAAGTTACTTCTTGATACCATAGTTTCCTTATCTATATTGATTAAATAAAGCCATGCATATAAATGACTCAGCAGAGTCAAGTATACAGCAAACAGATAATAAAAAAC